TGACGACCTCTTTGTTGAAAGCTCATAAGTTGTCAGTCCAGACAATTTCTGGGCAATTTTCTAGCATTATAGGTGTAACATACTAATTAGGTGTATTACTAATATATGCATTTCTTATTCTTTGTTTGAAATGGTCGAAATCTGTAATTGGTGCTGAAAAATTTGTATCCTTTATGTATCCTCAGACAAAAAAATCTAAAGGAGTAAGATCTGGGTATCGAGCTGGCCAGTTAATTGGTCCATTGTTTCCTATCCGATTTTTTGGGAATATTGAATCTAAATATACCCTTAATATTGCTGCATTATGGGGATGAGCGTCGTTCTGTTGAGAATATTGTATTTCATGGCGGATATTCAGTGGCAATTCATCTGAGTAGCCATCGAGTTCATTGAATAGAAAATGAAGATACATTTCAAAAAAAAAAACTACGAATTTTCAGTGTTGGGGTGCCTACCTTTCGAATTTATTGGTTTGTCTGAATTATATTTTGAATAAATTGAAACAATTTACAAAAGAAGTAACGACAGGACCGTAATTTAAAATTGTTGTCACTGATGATGGTAGTTATTTCAAATGAAACGCTATAAAAATATCAAATATGATATACCCTCGGATAGTGAATTTATTGCTTTATCAATATCAGTAATAAAAAAGGCAGGTCCGAATTAAAAAAAAAGTTGATGGTGGTCATATTGACACGAAACGTTTTATCGAATATTTATTATCAAACTGTCATAGAAGAATACAATAACATTTTCCACCTTTTGATATGCTCCGAAATAACAATTCCATTTGAAAAAAACGAAAAACAGCATTTTTGGTTTTTCCCGTATAACTCGAGAACGGCGAGAGTCCCCGTAAATTTTCTTCGACCTGTATCGTTCCCAGTGGCAGTTATTTTTTTCCCATTTAATCATTTTCGTATCTGTTTCAGTTTAGAATATTGCAATGTTACCACATGATAAAAAACGGCCTCTATTTAAAATTAGAGTGACGACGGAGAGAGAAAATTTTTATAGGTTAAATTCAACATCTTGGCAACACTGGGCCAGATCAAGTCATTCATTTTAGGTGTTGTACGACTTCTACTAATAAAAGCTTCTTTTTCTTTTTCTTGTCTTATATAGGAAATTATATCAAATGTTATCCTGTCGAATTGAACTTTAATTATGCTGTTTCTATGTGAAATTTTTGCTTATATGAAGGATAAAAGTAAACAGATATCTGTGTAACAAATGGAAGGTTTGGTTTTTCAGGGTTTTAAAGAGAAATTATATGGAGAAAAAGTCTTTTCTTGTCGATTTTCCTAAAAAATTTACTTTTGAATCAGTCACTTCTGATATGGCGTATTTTTCGAAAGCAAATATCCCACCGAAGTCTTATGAATCATATATTTTCTATAACTTGCAATTTACAATTTACATTTCACTTTCATCATCGATTTTTTATATTCTGCTTTTCAGAAAAAAATCGGTTTTCAACAATGACTTTTTCTGCTGTTTTGAGTAACTGATTATACATTTTGTAAATCTTTTTCAAATATGAGTGAGGATAAGGACGATGAATAGTCTAAAATTCAAGTCGCAGATCATAAAATTGAAGTACCGAAAGTCTGCATCTATCTTCAGTAAAAAAAAATTTTACAAGACTTCACAAAATAGTGAACGAGACTAGTTGGAAATTCATTAGGAAAACTTCGAGTTCTCTAGTTATACATACATTTTCAGAGAAAGAAGGTAGAATCGAAAGACATTTTTCGAGTCAGAGATCGTTAAATCCAGTTCTAGTCTAGCGAACGACTGAAAAAAAAAACTGGCTTGCCCAGACAGGGACAGGAGGGTCGGCCTCGAGATGCAAGATTTTTTCGGTGTTCGTTGAAAAGGATGGACAAAACATTTAAATGTTCAAGTTCATTTCGAACTGGATAACGAAGATAAAATGATTGGGCGGATTTTTTTCAACCGCAGAGATCTTTCATGAGGACTGTCACGTAGACTACGGGGTTTCCTTATTCTTTCCTTTATTAATACATCTTACAAGTAATATTGCATTTGGTTTTTCATTCAATAAAATTGAAACGGTTTTTGAAACATATTAAATATAGTGAGCAAATTGAATTCCTTTGTTTTCCTTCTCAAATCTTATGGGTTGTACATCTCGACTATTTATGTTCCGTAAATATATGATTTATTTGTTTTCAAAATTAATATTTTTTTTGGTAGCTGAAAATTTAGTTTTAAACCGATTTGTTTCATATTATCAGCAAGAAAGGTATCGCATTAAAAACTGAGATACTAATTATTATTTTTAGTGTGGCAGTCGTCTGCCAGTGGCGTATACACTCTCCCAATTGTTTTATAGAGGCAACCAGAAAGTTTGAAACTGGTTGTATATTATAAACACGATTTATCGCTCCTTCAAAAAACTATGGTTTTGAATTTAAACTATCAATTATTTCACTACATCTTTGGGATACATAATATCACCCTTAACATATTTAATGAAAGCATTATCTTTTTCAGAATTTTGTGTTGTATATGAAATTAGTTTGGCTCATGCATATAGAATTTTAACAACCTCTTTTTCCAGATTAAATCATGATATGACTCAAGTTTTCCATTAAGTAAAATTCACAACTTTCAGTGATTTGAGTATGCAAATATATTCATAGAAGCATTTTGAATTGATCAAAGTATTTGAGAAGGCAACAAAGGAAGTGTAATTTTCAACACGAAATTCATACATTATTTTCACTTTTATGAGTGGGCAAGGCATTTGAAGAAAAATCATGAAAATATATTTTCTTATTGTAGAATAATTTTCGAGAATTTCCTCCTGAAAAAAAACTGTCGCGTCCCTTGTTTTTACAAGAGATAGCTTTCCTGGTAAAATTGTTAAAGTAACTCATATGCTGGAACTTCTGTTGACAATATTTGTAGAAATTGTCGCATTCGATTTTAAGAAGGAAGAACAATGAATTACTATAAATTTCCATTGTATCTGTAAATCACTTTTTTTGTAATAAGCAACGTATTGAGCAATTGTCGTCGACAATCGTTTATGATGAAAAAAAGATTGTCTTGGTAAAACTCAAATTTTCTTTATGGACAAATTGTCGACAATGTGTTTTAGAATATTTTTACTGCAAGTTGCCTTATATACCTACTATATTTACAACTAATTATGCTATTTATGCTTTGTGCTGTATGTTGTATTTTAATTTTTTTTAATATTAAGAGAAAGTGAACCGAGTGAAAATCTAGAATAATTTTAAGAAACACTTGAGTAATGAAATAAGTGATGGTTTAAAGAATCAACATTCAGTATCATTCCAATCCACTGCTACAAATTGTCGAATCTATAAACGAATATTTAACTATATTGAACAAAGAGTACAAGATTCACGAAAAAACACATCAAAACTACTGAAACAAAAAAAAGAGTAATTCATTAAAAATGATCAAACTATAGAAATTCTCCAAAATAACAATGCTTTTGAATTCACTTAGTCAGAAACTTAGAATTTTAGGGTACAATTTTAGGTACATATGTGTCGTTTTAGAATTGTTTTATTCGTCGTCTTTCAAAAATCTTATTACACCATGATTTTCAATTCAAACCAGCAGAGCCAAATCAAAATATTTCACTTATTGCAATAATATCAGTCTTCTTCGATACCCCATTAAAGATCTTCAGTTTCCCTTTGCAAAAAAAGTTAAAGGGCAACTATTATCGCAAGCAAAAAACTTGACCTTTAAAGATTGCACAATAAAAATGAATCTCCTCACTAATAACAAATTTTTAAATTACAATATTTTTGGCTTATTCTACGACCTTTCATTACCCCCTTGAATAATTATTGCTTCTCTTATGTATGTATGTGGATTCTGCTAGCTTCACTTTAAGCTGGTAGAACCAAATCGAAATCCATCACTTTCTCGAAATTTCTACTGATTTAACTGAAACTTTGAATGCACACCGTTTGAACATTCCAAAAATACCTAAGTGCACCTTTTTCTCAAAGTCAGTATTTTATAATAGTTACTACCTATAATAGTGCTGGTTTAAAAAAGAGAACAAAGAAGATCATGTTTATGTCGATTAGCCAAAATTTTTGCCTTAATGATAAGCCACATCTTTCAACACATCGTAGATTTACAAAATATATTCGTGAGAATTTTGAATCCCCCTTTGGGGAGAAAAAATTCAAACTAAAAGCATTAAAAAATCAACTATAGTAAAAATTTCTTAAAGCTAAGTAAATCATCTTTACACAGCGATAAGACTGCCTTGCAAATGGGTGAATGAACTACACTGAAGGCATGCTTGTAATACGCAATTTTTTAAGAAGAATAACAAACTCTGCTAATGAAAAATTAACAAGATGCATGCGGTAGTGATGCTCAGTAAGTAATTCGTGTAAAATGACTAACTTCGATACCCGAAATTCAGCTTCAGCAAATTATTTTGCTTTCCCGCTAATTTCAACTAACTTAGTAATTTAGGATTATTCACCAGAGTGAGTAATATTTTCCAGGGAATTGGAGTGTAGAAAATTCTCGAAATATATATAAAAAACAATACTCGTTTAATTCAGACGAATTTGAACACAACTTCTCTTGGACATGAAACAAAGAATGTAAGAAAAATCAGTCTCAATCTCAAACGCGTAAATAACGACAACTGCTATAAATATCTCAAACTCAAGTCATTATTCACTTGCAATAATATGTATTTTCGGTTTCTGGAATAATATTATTTTAAACGTTCACAGAAAATGAAAAAAGGGGTTAAAAGATCTCGAACGAAAACATATTTAATTAGATGAGAGTTTGAGGTTAGAATAATTCATAACTCGACATGAAGAAGGTGCGAAATCTTCAACAGCTAACCTTGAGGTTATTTGAATCATTACATTCTACAAAGATGCTTAGAAGTTCGTTATTTCTGTTAGTGCGGAAACAAAGAAAAGCAAACAAAAGAAACCAAAATTCCATACCAAAATATCACAAAAGCTATTTACTTTTTTCCGTTATCCAGCACTCTCATTTAAATTAATCCTTTGTCATAGCTGGAGCACCACGATCACGTACCGTTTAAGAAAACAAAGCACAAACCAAATTTTCAATCGCGTTCTTACTTACGTTTACTAATTAAAAAAGTCAACGAAAAAACCACAGCCGAAACAATAATCAAGCACTGTATTACTTTTTCATCAATCCCACAAAAGTTACTTCTTAGGTTCACGTACGGGGCTGACTACAACACGTTTTGCTTTGTTCCTGAGCGATGTGAACAAAGCGAAGAACTCTACATAACTGACTCAACTGACGGCGCGTGTTTTTGTTCTGAGTCTACCTCCCGCCTATCCAGCGGCAGATGTTCAAATAAAATAAGGACTACTCGTCGTCGTAGTCGGAAACAGAAATATCGGAGAGGAGGGAGATTCGTCCCTCGCCTCTCTCTGCTAGTCAAAATGCACCCTATTGGACATTAGCACCCTTTTTCCAACAGGTAAGGGATAGATAGACCAGAATATCTAGAAGTGAATTGACCAAGTTATTCAAATTTTCTGAATGCTATTAAAGCGAGAAAGTTGAGTTTTTGTCGGTGATTGTTTTTGGCGCTAAAATTTAAGGCGCCAGAAATAACAGACCTCGGTGGTTGTTGAAACGGCGGTTTCAACATCGAGTTTTGACAGTTGAATCGCAAACCAGCTCTAAACGATTTGAGTAGGAGTCAAAAAAATTGAATGAACGATTAGTTAAGACAAGTAGGTATGGAACTTACATTCCAGATATGTCCTTATTTCGCTATATGCAATTTTGCAACTAGCATTTAAGATCTCCCAGTTGATAGTGGATTAGCAAACTATAAACCAAATAATACCATAATGATAGCGATAATGTGATAAGGATGATTCATTCTTTTTAATCCATAAGATTGGTTAACAACTGTTTAGAAAGTGTAGGCGCTACAGTTGGGTCGATGAAAGAATATACATGCCTTCCTTTTTTAATGAATTATTTTGATTCATAAGTGAAATAGGCAGACAAAACAGTAAACTTTTGCGTTTGATCAGAGAGAGATAGGTCTTGTTTGAATGATAGCTTGCCCTCTGAAATTGGAGAGAGATAACTTTAAAAACCTGACTCGTCGGACGGTTTACATTTTTACATACTGTTTATTAATTCATTTATATTGGAATATATAACATATATTACATTGTTTTTACAACCAATAAACTGTGGACATTTCATATTTCACAGAGTACATTTATTAGTATTCCAAGATTGAAATCGGATTTTAATGACCCCTGAAGTGAGCAATTTGAATTTTTATATTGTTTTTCTAGGCCATAAAATTATTATAATTGATGTTTAGAAAAAAAATTTTCAGAATTTTTGATGTTTGTTTTGAAAGCGAAATCATCGATTTGTCTTCTCAAAGCTTTTCACTTTTAAAATTTGATGCAGTACATATTAAGAAATTATGTAAAACACGAAGAAAGCAATTTTTTCATGAACTTTCAACTTAAATTCTAGTCCATTCTTTCCAACCAGAGCTTCAAGGTTTTGGCCTTACACAGAGAGTTATTGAAAATTAATTATATTCAAAGATTTTATAGCTAATTTTTTAATATATTCACAGGTGGTCAAATTGCTATGCCCCTGCCAGTAAAAGAGTTTCTGTTGAAAGGGGTTTTGGACGTTCTGAAACATTTCTGGTGTGGTGTTCCGACACTCAACATCAATGCGTTGACACAAATTATGTAGGTATAGATGCTGGTCAGGTTTACTCAATTGTAGTCAATAAGATACCCCACAAAATTTCAACGGACCTAAATCGGGTGACTGCTTGGGCCACTCTACTGAGGCTCTTCTACCGATCCATGCACTAGAACATATCTTAATTGAATCCTGACGAAAAGCAAAAGGATGGTGATCGGGGGCCTATTCTTGTTGAAATATCAACTCGTTCTCCTGAGTAACGGTCACTAGATATGTTCAAGAATGTCTATCAATTTCAATGTTAAGAAATTACAGTTAATAACTCATAATTTCACTGAAAATGTAAAGTAATTTTATATTCTCATCACAAGCATCGAATTCCTGGTACCACATTGTAAACAAAAAAATAAAACACTCTTGACAACCGCCGTGCTGACTGTAGTATGTAGGTACATTTAGTCTCAAAGGTAGAGAAAGTGTAACAGTTGTTTTTCGACATACCTGCAGGTACCTGTCCGAAGACGATATGATCAAGTTCTGACATGCTTCGAGTACGGTTTTTACTTGAAATTGTTGAGAACAGTAAAGACACAATAAACTTCGGATGCTTTCCAACAGCATGGTGAATTGAGATGTGAGAACAATAAATAGCATTGAAGGAAGTTGTAGGAAGCAGCAAAAACGAGCAGCAAAAACGAGCAACGAAAACGAAGCAGCAAAAACAAGCTCTCCAAGCAGTTCCACTAATCAATTGTTTTGTATTTGTTTTGGTTCATGTTTGTATTGTCCACAAAATGTTTCCATTTTATTCGAACCGATTTATGACTATTCCAGAACAATAATTATTAATTTGAACATCGGACTGGTTAAAACTTCCAATTAACAAAATATTATCATTTATGATGTGATTTATAATTTATGTATTTATTTATTTATTGAGAAAATACATCCAACAGGTCATGAGACCCAATTACAGGAGTACATAATACAAAATTAGTCCTGAAAAACAAAAATTAAACATAAAACGTAATCTATATTAGCATTACATACCATGTAACATATCACTTATGTAGTGGTAGTGCATTATGTATTGCTTTCCTAAACCGAGATAAGGGTAAGAAAAATATATCGATGTTTTGTAGACTATTGCAGCTTCTACACATAGATGTCAAAGGACAGTGAAAGTGATGTGAGCTAGGTACGTCGATGTAAAAAGTTATATGTGACCTGGAAGTTATACGAGGAACGTTAAAATTCAATGATGAAAGTAAAGTAGAAGAGTCGATTTGATATGTATGATTTTGTATAAAAAAATCAAGTCTTTAATTTGGTGGCGTTAAGTGATGTATAGTTGAACTCTTTGAAGAGTAAATCATAGCGATGCTCTCTTATGGGGTAAGAACCATGCTTTTTTAAGTAAAGAAATTTCAGAAACTTTTCCTGTACAGTTTCAATACAATATATACAGGGCTATTCAAATTCGTTTCTGTACATGGGATCTCGTAAACGATAAGAGATAGAGTGTCGGTTAAACTGTGGCAAAGTTGTGTATTTTAGAGACCTATTCGATGATGTAAAGAAATCGAATATGGCTCTTTTGATTCTGGAGATATACAGGATAAACCAAAAAATCCCAACTTATTTTTTTTCCTATATCTTCGCAGACATATTGAAAATCTGTTCACATTTTGCTATTGGCACTTGATGTGGGCTCTCAGACTATATCCATGAATCTTTTATACAGGGTGTCATCTGACTTGGGCCACCCCCATCTTTGATTTTTTGAATACGGAATACAGGTCCGTATTTTTTTTCTGCTCATCAAAACACATATAATCTATTTTTGTTGTAGATATGTTTCAGATAATCATAAAAGATTTTCTTATTCGAAGTTCATTGTAGAAAACGCTCAGAGCAATGGAAAAAATATGAATAGGTACCTAAAAATAAAACAAAACTCTCGAAAAACTCTATGGTACATAGGGAGACGTGAAAGTTGCTATTGTGTTTTTATTCAACTCAGTCAACCAATTTTCAGGGCCGTAATTTAAAAGGGAATAATTCACACAATTATAATCGAATATTACCGAAAAATCCCGAAATATAAAATTGAATTGAATTTCTCAGTATGAAGAGAACGTCTACGATCCAAAAACTACAACAAAAAAGACAGGTCCGTAATAAAAAATTCAAAGATGGGGGTGGTCCAAGTCAGATGACACCCTGTATAAAAGATTCATGGATATATTCTGAGAGCCCACATCAAGTGCCAATAGCAAAATGTCAACAGATTTTCAATATGTCTGCGAATAAAGAAGATATAGGCAAAAAAATAATTTGGATTTTTAGGTTTTCTTTACATCATCGAATAGGTCTCTGAAATATATGGAGCTACAATAGTCCAGTTTGCTTCTGACCAATGAATAATATATAGAGCTACTTGCCTCTAATGATGAGAATTCTTTGCTATTACTCATAACAAATCCTAGCATTTTCATTGCACGGGATGTTATTTCTTCGATATGTGACGAGAACGTTAGTTTTTCATCACAGATAATACCCAGATCTCTCGATTCGGTAATTCTTGCCAATGTTATATTATCCAACTTGTATTTATATATTTGTACTGAGGATTTCCTTGCAAAAGTCATAATTTTACATTTGCCTATGTTTAATGATAGTTCATTTCTCTGACAACAATCATGTAACTCAGTAATATCGATTCGTATTGATATACAATCAGAGTAGTCTTCAATCTCCCTGAAAATCTTCATGTCATCAGCAAAAAGTAGTTTTTTAGAGTTGATATTATCAAAAATGTCATCAACAAACAGAAGAAATAATAGTGGACCCAAGTTTGAACCTTGAGGAACCCCGGAAGTTGCATTCAATATAAACGATTTAATTCCTTCGTATTCCACAAATAATTTTCTATCACTAAGATATGATTTCAGCAGATATTGAAGGCTCCTCGAAACGCCAAAGCTTGATAATTAACTCATGAAGTGAAACCCGATCAAATGCTTTGCTGAAGTCCGTATACACCACATCAACTTGTTTACGTTGTTCCCAACTGGGGAAACATGAAACAAGGATTTTTCTGTTTTGGTTTTTCACTCAGCATCAATTCAGAACAGTTCTCTTACAGTTCGAAATCAATAATCAATACAAATCTTACGAATCTGACTTCAAACGTGCAATTGAATTTTTGTATCAGTTATGGTTGTTGAAATTCAAAAGTCGAATGCTTCTAAAAACATGGCATATTGTATTGTAACGAATCTGAAGCCGGCCCTGACCGATATCTCAGCCAGCAAACACATGACTCACCGCGAACCGCAGCGAAAAGTATAGATGAGTGCCGAAACGACTAGAGAGATCTGGAGTGATCGTTGCCGATATAAAAGCCGGCTTCTCGTCTCGAGATAGGAGTCTATTCAGAAAGCGAATCGAACGGTTAACAAAGTATTCGAACAGTGAAGATAAATTAAGCGTTAGTTGCTTAGTGTTGTATATAAATTAGTTGTGATAGTAAAATATTCTTAAAAATAAATTTGTTTAAGATAGTTAATTCTTTAATTCGTTACAGTATGTTAGTTTTGTTTCGATTGGAACTTCCTAAAAACTTTTCTATCAATA